AAATACACGCTATATTCCATTCAATGGTGATGCATAAAACTCCGCCCCACCTGGGGATTTGCTGGCAGGGTTGACGGAGTTTGGCGGGTAACAAGCTGTAAGGCAGCGGTGAAGCCCGTAACGTTCGGTGTATTGATTGTGTTCTGTGACTCGATTATATCCTGTGCATACAGAGATCCTCCTGGTACAATGGCGAGTGCAGGGATAACTGTCGATGATGGCGATATTCTGCTTCCGCTGGGGAAGTGAGTGACGTTAAACGCGGATGAGTCTTTCACGTGTGCAGGAGCCGCCATGCTGTCCGACCGCCCCACAATGTGCTGGTGGTGGTCACGGTTGTTGTTGCAGTTACAACACCCTTCGACGACTGTAGTCGTAGCCGTGGGAGTGATTGCAATCGTAGGTGTCACGACGTCGGTGACTACGATTGTTGTGACGGCAGCTTGTGAAGGGATCGACAGGTCGGTTGTGCCGACAGTGATGGTCGTTGAAGCGGGACTATGAAAGACTGGCTAACGGATGGAGATATAATCGCAGGGGCCAGCTGGGCAGTTGTGCTGACACCCCCGGGCTCCGCAGGCGCAGTCAACACAGTCGGCAAGCCAGCGCTATCAAACAAAGCAGACCATTGATGCCATCCTACAGAGAATATCACTTTTCTAGAGAAGCATGCGCACGACATGCACCACGCAGACATGTTCAGACGAATTTAAATTTAAATCCTGCAGTCTAGAACAAAATCGCTGAGTTCATGAATCATGAGTGGACGAGATTCAAATGGTATTATTTGAAGCTTTGCAGGCCCTGCAGAAAGACGATAGTCGCCTTAACAGTACGAGCTACGCTTTTTACGAATTCAGTTTCATCTCGTCGAGTCAATTGCTTAGCTTTACATTACATTCATTAGGAGGTGTAAGGATGCAATGCACGACATCATGGAAAACGTCTTTCTCTCACACACAACGGGGATCTAGGTATAATTTGTTTTGTTATTCACCTATTGAAGGCGTGCCTATCTGTGTGCTGTCGACATCAGAACTTATAAATTTAAATATACATGGTTGAGGCTGTTGCAGGGGGGCGCCATGAATGCAAACCAACAGCAAAAATGCGTGTCCGCATAGCCACATCTGCAATGAGACAGGTACCGCCCTGCCAAATCCCCGATAAACAGAATTATCATTGGACCAAACAATTCGACCAGCCCATAACGTTATTTTGATACATCCAGGGCTGTAGTTGACCACTAGTGGTCCAAGTTGGTTATCTCAGGATGCACATTGCGCTGGTGGAGAATCAGCTGATTGGTGCTTGCCATAGTCTACACATACCGGTTCACGTTAACTGCCCGTTCCATCAAATCTACTTTGAATCTTCTTGATAATCGCGTTTAGCCACTTCCTGTTGAGCTGAGTGAGGAAAGTAACGCCCACGGTGATGTGATGTAATGCGAGCAGATCTGCAACTATTCCAAATCGATAAGCCAGATTCCACTTTACAAACTCGCCACTTTTTGTTTAGTTTGTAGTGAAAAAAACAACCGCCTCCAGCCGTTTAACATGTATGCCCTGGTGACACGCTGTGTACTGGATGGGTGACGCTTCCTTTCTTAGCCGGGCGTCACCGTGACCTTCCTCAGACGGTAATCCGTCGTACACTGTAACATTTATGTCACATTTTTCTAAATTTGAGTACGATGAGTAACTCTTGGGCGACAGGACAGACCAAGGAATCGGCAGGAGGACATGTTGGAAAGGAACTGTAGCCATAACGCGAATAAATGAATCTGCAAAAAGAAGCGTAAGAACAGGGGATCTCGATCAACGTTCGATAACGGTGACTGAGATGACAAAGAACAACAAACAAAAGATAAAGAGTCCGGGATGATCCCCAGGGAAACTGGACATGGCCAAAACGGTTGAGATCGAGCGGAATATGACGAATTTAGAAGCACAATATTTCAGTATAGGAGACTCGCTGTGGAGACAAATAGAATATTTATCTGTTGCAATATTCTCGAATGTCGTATCCGGATATGCTAAGAATATTGTTATCATATTTCAGCATATTTCAATTCAGTTCGTGTGGTACGACAAAATCGGTTGCATTCGGGTGAATTATGCTATAATCTACTGATACAAACGCTTTGACCTGCGACCAGCAAATACGATACAGGATGATAATGATAGAACCAGCACGACAGCGAGAAGCATGCAAACTCGACAGCAGCAAAGAGAACAGGAGCGATGTGGACGGGCGAGAAGTGAGACAAGCGAGCACAGGCAGCAACCAGCAGGTAACGGCAAAAGAACAGGAGCGATGTGGACAGGCGAGGAGTGAGACAAGCAAGCACAGGCAATTGGGAAGCAACCAGCAGGCAATGGCAAAAGAATATTAATAGGAATGATGTAGACAGGCGAGGAGCGGCAAGATAACGTGATGGGAGAGCGTCCAGCAGCAAAAAAGGCATAGAACAAGAGTGAGGGAGGTGAGTAGTATACTGAAGACAACAGGACGGAGGGAAATCATGAGGCGGAGCTACTGTCGACAATAAGCACCCTTCCCGCTCCTAGTAAACATGAATGATCATAAAATAAGAGTTCGAGAGCTGAAACTTACCAGCTAGCGCTAAGTGGATCATAAGCCTGCAGAGACAATAAGTTAATGCCATTTAAGAAAAGCAGTAACAACACGTATACCTGAATCCACGAGACCCGCATATTTGTGGAAACAGGTGAGGAAGGCAGTGGCAGGACTCCTAGCTGTTGGGAAGATGGTGGTAAGAAGAAAGGGGGAAATGGACTTTGCCGAAATTCCCCAAACATTTTTAAACTTTGGGGTGTTGGTAGTTTCAAAACTCACCCAAACTTTGTGATCACACGAGAATTCGAGTGGAGCTTTGCAGAGTAAGTAAGCTGTGTGATGTGTGAATGCAAAGTAGTGATCGAGACATGGACGGAGTGATGTAAGAGGCTGTTCGGCAACCAGATGTTGCCTAACATTTGGCAAATGTCATGTGCGGATTCTCGGCTTCAAGCGTCTCAATTGTCGGAGCTCAAACCTTACATCTCATACCTGTACATCTACCATGAATTCTTATCTTATTGACTACTATCGTCAACAGAGACTTTGCACCTCTGTTGTTGCACTCACCGCTCTCTGTGCTAGCTTTACTACAGTCCTTATGGCTCAACCTGAAGTAACATCAATGCCGGACAATGCGGCAAAGGCGCACTGGCAAGAGACAGAAGTGGACGTTCTACTCCAACATCTGATTGAGAATCGGGCAGCGGGTGGTGATGGCGGGAACTTCACAAATACTACCTTCAACAGCGCAGCAACTGCTATCAATGACAATCACGCGATTCAAACAATAGGCCCTCCGAAGACGGCCAGGATGGTTAGGACAAAGTGGACATCGGTATGTGATCATTTCTCGAATGATTATAAGTTTACGAGCATGTTTTAGCTCAAAAAAATCTTCAATCAAATCGAGAATTATCGCAATGTGTCTGGTTTCCATTGGGATAATGTGCGGGGGGCTGGAATCAAGGGTCGTGCTGCTGGTGATGTTTGGGATACGTATGTTAACCCCAATGTATGTAATGATGCTCAATTCTATTGCATTTGACTGACACCCAAAAGTCACGAGCTGTGATGCGCCCCTTTCGCAACAAAGGGTGGGCTCGATACGACAACATGCAGCTGATCATAGGTGATAATAGCGGTGCTCGTGGAAGGCACGCGTTGCACCCAGCTACTGCGCCCCCTCCGTCTGTCAATACTGCAGATGACGTGCCTGATGTTTTTGACGGAGGCCTCGGCCTTCTTGATATGGATGTAGACACTGCTGGAGCCGCTGCCCCCAGCAATGTGCCAGACATGAGCCCTGATTTAATGATGCCACTTAGCGCCCAGCTTCATGGAACCTCCGCTACTTCTCAGGCTGCCGGCTTGCAGTCCAGTAAGTGCATGCGCACCGACACTTTTGTCGACTCTTCATCTCAACGCACTGGTGCCCCTCCCGTGTCCAACAATCCTGTTCCTCTTTCATCAACGTTGATATCATTACCGGCTCCCAAGAAGGCACGAGTTTCAGCACATGGTGGCATGCAGTCAGGGATAAATAGTGCCGCAAAGATTGCTGCCAAGATTACTCCAGCAGTTGCCGTCATGAACATGCAAGGTAGCATCAACCGTCTCACAGATGTTATCGAGAAGACCATAGCCACTCCGCCTCCGCTTCCACCACCAGTCCCTCAGGTTGTTGTACCAACTGTACCAAATATCATCTCTCGCGGCCTAGAGATTATGCGCAGCAAAGATGGAGATTTTTTGTCAGTTGGTCAGAGAGCCAGTCTCCTGCGCATATTTTCCCTTGCAGGAGGGGATAACAAGCTTGCTATCTATGTTGGGCTTGAGGATGACTACGAGACACGCCGTGCATTTATCTTAGAGCTCTTGGACTCTCCACCGCTGCAGTAGTACTATCATATCATTTGTATTGCTGCGCTTGTTACATTCTTGTCTCGTACTAACATGTAGTATCCATTTCATGTACTGCTCATTCTACATGTATTTCATGCATCATTGAATCATATACTAATTGGAACGGATCAGATACAAGTACATGGTACTTGCTACTAGTGAGAATTAATCCAGTCCATAATCGTCATACTCGTCATACTCGTCATCCGAAATGTCGTCATCGTCCTTACCAAGAGCACGTCGTTCTTCTAAAATACGCTGATACTCAACCCACATTGCGTGCGCAATGAGATCACGCTGCGCGTGCAGATCGTTGTTTGCGGCCGGAGCTTCTTCTACTGCCTGCTCCCAGTTTGCGGTGTGCGTGCTGGGAGCGTCTGAATGGTCTGCTTCAGGTAGCACACCTTCCGAGGGATCATGAAAACGTATGAAGTTGTGAATGCAGCACAACGCAGCTGGAATCTGCGCTTGTATGTCCATAGCATATGGCGGTGATAGATGGAGGATTCGGAAACGTCGTTTGAGGACACCGAAGATCCGCTTGATGACATTTCGAGCGGACGAGTGACGCAGATTGAATAACTCTTCTTTTGTAGCCGGCCTGTAAATAATCAGCACATTGTAGAAAGAATAACACCAGTACACGTACCTCATACCTGCACGGCCCCATTCTGCAAGGTGGTAGCGCACATTGCGGTATGGAATGAGTAGTTCAGGCCGCAGAGGGAAGCCTGCATCTGCAAGGAAGTATTTCCCTGCAGGAATGCGAAGGTCATGGCCCACTGCAGCCTCGTAGATACGTGCGTCTGTGGCCGACCCTTCCCAGCCGGTGAGCGCGTAAGTAAAATTCAGTTTGAAATCACAAGCAAATAGGCAGTTTTGTGAAATGAATCCCTTCCGATTGCGGTAGGGACCTCGTTCGAATGCGCGAGGCGAAGCATGAATGTGGCTACCATCAATGGCCCCAATGGTATCTTGGAAAAACGGCCAAAACTTAGGGTCAGAGCGAATTCTATCAGGAACGGAGTCATCCGGCAAGTGAATATAGTTTGTGTAGAAGGGGGAAGATGAGAATATCTTGACCATCTTGCGAAAATAACTAGTACATAGGTTATACATTGAGACATCCACAAAAAATAACTATTAGTGCGTACTTACCGAGAAATTGTTTCATTGGAGCGTTGAAATCGTTCGCCGACGTGCCTGACACACAGTCCTGTGACAGACGTATATAGAAAAATCGCGAGTTGTTCCTCGAGCGAAACAAATTTGGAGTTGGTATAGCCAAGGGTACGAAGCTCAGATATAAGCTGTTCAAAAGCATGTGCATGCATGCCAAGTTCACAACGAATCCGTTCTGGGTGGCCAGTCAACAGCTCTATCACCCAGGCTTCACCAGAGAGAGCAGATGTGTGATACGGTTCTGGATCTTTGGCATACACCGACTCTAGTATATTGGCTGTAGCGCTGATTAAAATGCTGACTAGAAGGATTGAGTGTCGGATGAGGCGGCGTTGAACTTCTGGATGTTGGGGCATGAAACGCTGGAGTCCCGATTGAGGATCCATTGGTGTAGGGACGCATAGAGTACAAATGTAAGGACAGCGTATTATACCCTACAGCCCATATCAGCGTGCTAGGGTTAGTCCGAATTGGGCCTATGATCCAAGCTCCGAACTTCGGCAAAATCCAAGCCGAGATGACATTTGGCAAATGTTAGGCAACATCTGGTTGCCGAACAGCCTCTAAGATTGACGTGAACAAATTGTGTGTGTTGACGAAAACACGCTCGACGACGTGACCAACACAATATTGCAAATGTAATCTTTTTGCCATGCGATGCGCAGACGATCGTGTCATTGAAGATTATACAATATTATAGCATAAATTATATGTCTAAACAATATTTCACACTATCCTGGCCGTTTTGGCCATGTCTAGTTTTCACTGGGGATGATCGATGATCGGTGTTTCACTATTTTACACCCAGACCAGTACTAGTACCCTTATACTTAGGGTCGCGGAAGAACGTAATTACGATTTGCGTCCTATACAGCGAGGCGGTCCCACGTGCAAGTGATCCAAAGCTTCCATTATGACATAGGGTGACTCAGTGTTTATGTTATTAATATAATATACTTACTGAAGTTAAAGGCTGGCGCCGTGGTGGCGCAAGATCGTACATTGAAACTCCTTGTGAATTCTCTGCTGATTTCCGAATGGGAACCCCTCCCCAGCAGAAATTTGACCTGCATAAACCTTCATATCATGGTGCGCGGTCACTTAGTCACCACTACTTTTGTGCAGAGGCCAAATTGATGTTCAAATTCTGAAAAGGCCGAAATCTGAAGCTTCTTGGGCCCGGTTAACGGCTGGGATGACAAAACTATGGAAGATAAGATATCCCTCTTGAAGATAGATACAGAACTCAGAAAGATGTCGTTTTAGCATAAAATCCATTTTTCACCGCTGGCCAGATTGATTACTTTTACCCCGGTACAAAATACCCTATATCTCAGTTTTGACTCAAATAAAAATCCCTCTGGAGAAAAGGTTCCATTTGGGGAAAGGATCATTTCTACTAGAGGGATAAAAAATCCGGGCTTTCCTGGGGGGTTGCTTGCACAAAAGTAGCGGTGACTAAGTGACGCGCAGCATAGGACTGTCCCTGTGGGTCTATCATTATCCGCAGGAACATGCCATAGATGTAAAATTCCAAGATCATATCAAAATTGGCGTGATTCCGGAATGTCGTTCCGTCGATTTCATCGTTGGCAATCAAGGTGTCAGTACTTCAGTTACTGTACTCGAAAGATGGCCGCAGTTAACACAGCACAGTCTAGAGTAAGTGATTAAGTATGGATGATCACCGTGACTATCTGGCGATGCAACATAACACCAGCTACTAAACGGCAGGTCCATCGACAGGCGCTCGCTGATTCTCATCATGTGGCAAGCGAAGTTACCACTGTCATGGTATGCTCGACTGTTGTTTAATATGTAATGGTAATGGTTGATTTCACAAGAATGGCAACCATCCCAATTGGTTTCGTTCACCGTTTCAACTATGTCAGATTAACTATTTCTCCAGGCGACGTAAGACCGCGGACATTCTCCTTCGATTATTTCATGATAATGTTTTCAGAGATATCGTTGTTGGACATCTTTCATTTGCTGTGGTGGGGCATGGTATTAAAAACACGGGGGAAACCCATTCTCTCCCCCTAGGACAAGTTTGCCTTTCCTATTCCACAACTTGAAGATGTCTGCTTCAACACCACAAAATTCAACTACACTGACAACTATAAACTTTGCGCATTAATCCACCAATCCCCCAAAGTAACCAGCATAATAGAGGTGTCAGCAGCTTCAGTCCTTCGGCGTTGACAAGCGCATTCGAATGTATGCCCTCCTGTCACCGTTTATTTTTCATATAATGAACCTCATACACAGGCTGGATCCAAACACCCACAGTTCATCTGTGTTCCTCGCAACACATTGCGACCACATCGGATGGTGAATGCCGTCATCCCTGCTCAGATGGCAATCCCAAGTTAGTACACTCCATGTCGTCCTTAACATAATATAACGAAATCAGTGGTGGCCGTTCCATGGATGTCAGAAGCCCATCGAGCAGAAATGATGTCCCGCATGGTTCCCCGCATACTTCACCAACCTCCGGTTACGCAAGCTACGGGAAGGGTCTACTTGTCTCCGCATGCATCCCCAATGTATGCCTTCTGTCACTTATTTGTTCATATTCGCCCTCACACTCATGCACAGGCCGAGACCAATCGGCCAAACCTTTGCCCGGGTCCTCGCAATGCGCAATGACCACCTCGGATGCGTATTCCGTCGTACCTATGATGGCAAACCCCATGTTAGTGCGCTCCTTGTCTCCCTTACACAAGTCATACAACACGAAGTAGCGCTGCCTTGTGGACGCCAGACAATCCGGGCTGCTGTCTCACATGGCCCCTCGCAAAGTGTGCCATATCTCCACGATCTAGAAGGTACAGGTCTGCCATCACACTTATTTTCTCATATGTGCCCTCACACTCATACACAGCCTGAGACCGATCGGCCACACTTTGCTCGCGTCCTCGCAACGCGGTATGACCGCCTCGGATATGCATTCTGCTGTTCCCATGATGGCAATCCAAAGTAAGTATTATGCTCCCTATCTGCCTGACTTGAATCTGACAACACGAGCAGTGCTGTCTCGTGGACACCAGGCAATCTCAGGACTGCTGTCTCACATGACCCTTCGCAAAGTGTGCGATATCATCTTCATGATCTAGGAGGCATAAGCGCCAGTTTCAGCTCCCTCCGGCCCAGTCGGGACTGCCGATGAGCCAGCCATCTCCCCTCCTCTGCCGGTGGGTACATAACAACGCACATGTGAATATGAAGGAACCTTGGAGGATTTAAAACAGCATTGGCATGAGAGTCATCTTCCCGCATACCCAGGTGTGAAGATCAAATGCCGATGGGAACACTGCGATTATCACAAGAAAGGTGATCCCTCAATTAACGTCATGAACCGCTCCTGCGTGTGGCGGCATATATCTGAAGTTCATTTGATGCATCGGAGGAACTAGACATAACTGCGTTTTACTCCAGCCCATCATGACTTGGACAAGTTGCAGTTGCACGGGTATAACTCGCCTTATTGTTTTGTAACGAAATCACTATAGTAGACTAGCCTAACGCCGACAGGACGTTAACAATGTACTTATATATAAGCGGTGACCTTACTCGGGAAGAAAATATGTGGACTGTTTGCTCTTATAATCGTCATGGTCACTTGATTGTGCAATAATTTGGGACGATGCTGGAGTGGAAACTGTGTCGGTACCGTAGCAGCATTCAAGGCAATTGCCAGAACCTCACATGAAACATACTGACAGTGATTGTACTAAATCCGGGATTTGCGGAGAACTTGAACAAAAGATAATTTCCACTGTTCCCGTCTAGCATGTGCTGGACACAGGACGTTCAACTAAACAGTCCGATGACTCTCGATGCTTAATAAAAAGAACGCTATGCATGAAGTACAGGTAACAATTTCTTTAGAGGTCTTCGCCCTGTTTACCGTAGACGGTGCGGTTCTGACTATTCTCAAGCGTGACCCGTTGTCGGAAATTCCCATAGGTGCCTTGCAAGGCTTCTAAATTGAGACGTCATTTAACTGCATTGCATCCATGATGGAAGACTTTTCCAAGGAAGCGTGACTATTGAAAGCGTATGAAAGCGAAGTGACCTTCATAGCATATTGGAAGGAAAGTGATTGGTAACTTGCCAGGGGGAAACAACTGTGTCTTGCAAGTGGCTTACACTATCAAGGTCAGATTTCAATCTATACAACCTATCTTCCATCCATCGATGATTTCTTCCTGAACGATACCTGTGCTTATTTCATCGTCTATATGTTTTATATTACCATCAATGGCTCCCCAAAGATCACAGGAGGGCACGCAAATACACTGCTCTTCGGTATCATCTCTCAAGGTTGCTTGTCAGTATTGTAATGAACTGTACACATCCGAGGCCTCAAATCACACGAACAAAGCTGCTGTGCGGAGGAAGGAAAAAGAAAGAGGATAGAGAGTTTTCACGGGCCGCAGCCAGGTCAATTTTGAAGGAAGGAAAACACAGTACGTCTCAATGTCGTCTAAATTACCTTCAATCACTGATTATATTCAAAATCATCAACTTTGATTCATCAGAACATCGCAGCAATAAAGGGCGCACTCATGAGGCTGCCCGAGATACCACGCTAGTCATTCAAGAGGCTGGTTCAGCAGCTGATTCTCCATCCGCAGCGGATTCACATTACCATTATGATGACGCAGGTTTTGAAGGCCTCGATGATGTGCAAAGTGTCGGGAAAGACACACGGCTACGTATGTAATATTCTTTCTGTTTTGTTTTGACTCTATCTCAACATGATTCAGGTTCTGATTCTGATATCAGCATGGGTAATAACATTCCCTCCAATTTCGGTAGCCACAGCAACTACCTCAGATCGTCTCGACACATTCAAGACGAATATCACCCTCACAGTGGTCGCGCTCCGATCGTCGAGAGCTTTTCCATTTCAATAAGCCGGAGACACACAATCACCTGTCATCGATGACGAGCCATGGCAGCCTTTCAGCTGTCGTGCAGACTTCGAGTTTGCTGAACTCGCCCACCGAGCTGCCTTGAGCAAAGACCAAACTAATGAACTACTCAAGTTCATCTGGAGAGTTGCGGATGGTCGCACGAACTTTACTTTCAAAACTCACAATGACGTGTCAGCTGCATGGACGAGGGCATCCAGCCAACTGACTCCTGTAAGAGCGATAGCATAATGTCACATTTGCATATATATGACCATATTGTAACAGTTTGAAAGACATGTTGTACCTGTTGAGTATAAGAAGGAAAACATCGAGTATGAAGTATATTCACGACCACTATGGGACTGGGCATTGGACCTCTTGGATAACCCCTTGCTAGCACCGCAGTTCGTTTGGGATGCCCAGCGACTGTACAAACATGACGGAACTGATTTTGAACGCTTCTTCCATGAGCCATGGACAGGAGACCGCTGGTGGGACTTACAAGTGAGCTTTTCATTTTTCTTATGATGTTGTGACTAATTAAAGTGTACAATCAAGACATCTTTGCCCCATAATGGTGCGCCATTCGCATTTATACTGTATGCTGACAAAACGCACCTTTCGTCGGCCGGTGCTGTCAAGGCATACCCAGTAATCGCACGCTGCGGGAATCTGCCTTTGAAATCAGGAATGTTGATGGTCCTGGAGGAGGACTTAGTGGGTTGGTTGCCAATAGTAAGTCTTTGCGATACTTGAAGACATCAATTCACACTTAATCATTTTGCCCTTGTGGCAGGTTCCTGCAGACTCAGACGAGGATGGCAAGCTGTCCTATACGAATTTAAAGAAGGTGTATGGCACAAATCATTCACGATTCTCCTCGAAACCCTCAGTCTCATCTCCAAAACTGGCTTCGCGCACCAATGCTATGATGGAATTCTACGCTGGTTATTTCCACTAATACTGATTTTATCGGCCGATTACGAAGAGCAGTACGTGATTAGTAGTTTCACATTGTTTCTGTTACTCACTACGTTATCAGGTGTGTGATGGCCCTGATACGAGGGTTCAACTCTGCATGTCCTTGCCCTATTTGCCTTGTCCCGAAGGACAAGCTCACCGACCATTCTACGATATACCCTACCCACGTCATTGATGATGCACAAGCTTGTGTCCGATTGTGGAACATGGACCGTACCGCTGGTGAGGCGGCACTAAAAAAGCAGAGTCTAAGGCCTGTCGATGTGAGTGATTCATTCAACTTTCTCACTCTCAAAACTAAATGGTCTCATAACCGTCAGAACTCTTTGTGGATTGTTGAACGGTCCAGCCCGCATGACGCACTCTCGCAAGATACCTTGCACGCTTACGACAGTGGTTTGTTTGGCGATCACATGTTCGAGGAAGTCAAGGCCCACCTGAAAACACTGGGACGTACTGCTGAGAAGACGACTGATGACCAGTGAGTCTCTTTACATCCTTATTTCATCCTCGTCTTGTATTTTGTTCATTCTATAGGTTCGCTGCGTTTCCGCGATGGCGAAACCTAAACCACTTCGACCACGTTACAAACATCAGTTTTTCCGATGGCAACAAGTTCCTGGATATATCTAAGGTACGTTTTCGAGCGCTATATCATATTGAAGCTATAACTGACATATTTCTTGTGGTTTTGATAGCAAATATTGTATACAACACAGAACGTGCTCACACGCAAAGATGACGAAGCTGGTTATGCACTTCTAAAGTGCATAGCCAGCTATCTCCATGCCTACATGTATATAACATTTGACGTTCACACAGAAAGCACTATTGCAGCTGGGGAGGCCGAGATTCTCGTTTTCCAGAAGTGCTTAGATGTAAGTCCTAGTATCTAGACCAACTTATGCGCTACTTGACACTAATACTTCAAACAGCAATATATGAAGTTCTCGGTGACGAAGCGACAAAAAACTGGAATTTTCCGAAGGCGCACTCAATGAGGCACATATTTTCTGACATTAGGGCAAAAGGAGCTGCGCGAAACTTTAGTACGCGGCCAAACGAGAAGCATCATGGGCCGATCAAGAGGGCCTATAAACTGCAAACAAATGGCAAAGATATCGCAAACCAGGTATGTTTGATCACACTTCACATTAACTGACTCGTTGACTACCCCTGCTATCTAGATACTCAGGCTTGACCACACAACCTTCGTCTCTGTAGTCCTCCGCAACCGCATCGATCATTTCGATGATGAAACGCAAGGCCATACTTTCGGAGAGAGAGCTTGAGACAGAGGACCTGGATGATCGGTCTTTTGGCGGACATATTCACCTTGGCGCTCCTCAGTCCGCAATAACCTTTGCACAGCTTGAAAACGACAATGTGTCCAACGTGCCTTTGGGCAGTTCCGCAAAAAGCTCTCGACCTTCCTTAATCACGCTCTACCTGCATACAATATACCATTACCTGATGGCAAAACGTGGCTGACGCTTTCAGCACAAGATACGGTCAGTAACTCCATATTTCACTCCCACGAGTCCGTTGTTCACAAACATGTCTCCAGGTTCAAGAACACCGATATCTCAAAGTCAATTACGAGTCTGTTGTGGACTGGAAGCTTACTACCACCACCTGCGCTGCAACCCGAGCTTTCATGGCCGTGAACGACGTGACTGTGCCCTTGTTCGCACCCAGGACAAAGATGGGAATAATAAGAACATTTTTGTTCGCATTTTATTCATGTTCAAGCAATCAATTGGCAGTCAAACATTGGATCTCGCCCTAGTTCAACCTATGGATGCTCCGACAGGCCCACAACACGCTATAGATCAAGATTTGCGACTGAGACGTCTTGTGCCTGACCACTCGCTTCGACGGAGTTTATTACGCTTCACTCGGTTATTCGTGGTGCATTACTTGTTCCAGACTTCGCTAGTACAAGGGGCGACTTTTTTCTCGTTGATTATGTGGACTCCGACATGTTCCTTCGTTCACAGAGATATATGTTCTAATTAATGGTATGTTCAACATTTACATTTATGACTATTGCAATAACAAGCCAGGATATGAGCAGCACTCTCCTTTGTATCTCACCTGTATCACCCATTTCACCTTCACCTCTATCACACAGCACTCTCCCATCCCATCCCATCCCATTCACCCTTCACC